TCTTCCATCTTTGGCATGGAAATTCCAATGCATCCTAAATTTTGTTAACAGATGAGACAGCAAGACATTGTTTGTGGCTAAATTCTGCTAAGATCTCTGCTGCTAGGCAACCTGCCTTAAGCACAGTGTGAATAAGGTCAGTAAAGTTTCTAGTTCAGCAGGCTGTATTTTCTGTGAGCAAAATTTGGTGGCAGACTTGACCTCACTCTTGAATCCAAGTTATCTCTTATTCTGCATTTCTCCCTGTTTTGTATTTGGTCAGCTCTTTATCAGGTTTGAAATACTGCAAGGACCAGGCATCTCCTCACACTGGTGCTCAGACTAACACAGGTATCATGAGGGAAGCCAGTTATTGCAATACACTTTAGCCTGGAAACCTGCTGGATGTTCTGCCATGCTGAAAACACACATTGCAGACCCTGGGCAGATGCTGGGATAGGGACTTAGTGAAATATTCTAAGTGCAAATAGAATGGCTGCAACTGCTATGAGATTACACCTCTCATGCCAGGTCACGTCTGAGGACAGGCTGGAGCCACTCCAAGCCAACAAAATGCCTCTCTGCTTTTTCTCCAGCTCCCCAGAACCACAGAGTCTGCAGGAATCCATAACTCAGTGCAAGGAATATGTGCAGTGCCACTGCCACAGCAGAGACACGGTGGCAACAGAGAAATTAAAGCTTTAGTGCTAGAGGCTCAAGGGCCAAGTGCCAAATGACTTCATGCTATGGTCCCAGATTCACCACAGCCAACTTCAGGTCCTCCACTGAGGCATCCAAGCCCTGGGCTTGCCCTGTACCTGCCCTGCAGTGAGCAGCTCAGATGGTGTCTGCAGGTCAGTTCGTTGTTTCAGCCCACATGCCCCAGCTGAGTGACTCTGGTGAAATGGGGTGAACAAGGAGCACGGATCCCTTTCCTGATAACTGATCAGCTGCAGGGGTTGCACTTTAGCTCACTACAGCCCCATTCTGTGGTGACATGATGTCCCCTAACTCCAGCTAGCAATAGTTGTAGGTTTGAATTTCTGGAATAGCTAAGAACCATGTCCTGCACTGTATTAGAAAAGAACCCCAAACAACAGTTTCCAGTTTATATGTCATATTTTCCAAAGCACAGTCGTCCTGAAGATATGGATGGTTAAGAAAAATTGATTACATGCCAAAATCACCCAAATTCTTCTCTGTTTTGACATTGGATCTAAACAAATATTAAGTAATGAATACACAGCATATGAACATATATATGGTTGAATACTAATCCTTGCTACTGTGTGGGAAAATTGATCAAGGAGAGTTTTGATCTAACTTTAAAATAGTGCAAGCAGTGAACTGTGTCTATGCATTTTTAATAGCCTGAATGCATAATAGAGTGATTTTTTTTCATTATTTCTCACATGAAATACAGGTGAGTTGAACACACTTGTAATACACATGGCGTGGGGGGTTTTGCTTCATGTCATATTATGCTATGAATAATATTTCTGAAGTTTTGTTCAGATTTCTTGACACTTTAAACAGATTCGTCATGTTCATGTTTAAAATAAGTTTGGCCATTAGATCTTCAAATAAAAGCAAAACATTAGCCATCCTCACTATAAAGCTGCACCTGGTAGACTTTCATATGAGAAGTGCTTCCTGAAAGACAATGGACCAAATGGAGATGGCAATGAAAATATTTTGCAAAACAAGAACAAAAAAGTAACGTGCATAAAACCCCCCTGCTTTGATGGCCAAAAAAGTCCCTATTACAGTGTGGGTACCTGAAGTCTTTATGAAGTCAAACAAAACACTTCGAGCCAGTGACTATGTGCTGTCTAAATTACTTCATTCCAGGGCAGTGGGTTTTTTTTACTACCAGATGGTTGTTGCTCCAGTTGTGGTAGCCTAGATATGTGCTGACATCTAGTGGGCCTTTAGAGAATAAATACAGCCCAAACACTTATTAATTAGCATTAAAGAATAATAATTTCAGATTCAAAAACGTATCTTTTCACTTTTCTTCCTTTCCCCCCACAGTGCATGTAATAGTGTTCTAGATAAGAGAATTTTAGTGATTATTGTGCTTTTCAATATTTGTTCAAGCTGATGTTTTCTAAAGCACTGTTCCCATTGACACCATGCTGAGTCCTTTGGGAAAATCCACCTGGAGGCATTTCTTGACTGACAATCACCATGTGTTTAAGCAGAGACTGTAAAATTGAAAAAGAAATAGATAGGTATGCAGTTCTGCATGTCTGGAGCCACAGTAGGATCTGTATTGCACCTGATTTGATCAGAGACTCCTCAAGCTATTCCTACTAAATTCAGATCAAAATTTGTCTTTAAGCAGTTGTTAACCTGTTATTGTAAGTAAATGGCTAGAAAATGATAATTTTGTTTACTACTGTCTTGAAAACACCTTGCTATATTGTAGACACCAATGAATATTTATAACAGTCAAAACTCTACTTAGAAACCCACTTTCCACAGTATTTACTCCATCTTCATTTAGCACATATTTCTGCTCATTTGCAAAACCATGCGTGCAATGCACTCCTTACTCAGGATAAGTAAACTGGGGAGAAATTACTAGAACCTTAACCACTGATTTCAAAGTAAGCTGACAGAGGAAACACGACCAGAAAATCAACTGCCTTTGGGAATAATTGATTTGGGAGACCAAAACCTCCTGCTTTGGTTTCAGTTGATCTTAGAGTCCCACGAATGAGAAAGGCTTTTATTACTTGAGAAATAAGATGACTGAGGGTTTTAAAGTTACGTACGTGGTCAGAGAACCCCAGTCATATTCAAACCCTATAAAGAAGGTCTATACCACCTCCAAGGGGTCCCTGAAGCCATCTTTTAACCAGCTTTCATTTCCAGGACATAGTCTTTTAGGCTAAAGGAATAGGCTGCTGCAGAAGACCCCAAGTCACAGAAAGGGAGAGGAATGATATGCTGAAGTAGCACTGAAGAAATTTATTTTGAAGGAAGAAAATGGAAAACACCCTCTCAGCTGGCATATGTGTGCTGTCACTGTTTCACACAATCACCAGGGTCCCTGACATGTATCCACCAGTGTCCCTAATAACCCAGTGTGCTCAGGTCCTCATGAACAGGTCATTACTTACCACTTGCATGACATTCATTTTGGGGGTATTACAATTCAAGTGGCTGCTCAGCTGGTACCCTATAAAGAGTCTTGCCACATAATGCTATTTTTCATTTTTTGCCTCAGTGCAAGACCTGCTTGTGATTTATCGGCTGTAGCAAAGCACAAAGCCATAATTTTCTTTTATTGAACTCACTCTGGGTAGCCATCACTCTGCAGAAATGCAGATGGTCATCTTATTCTTATTCTTTGCAATGGGATGAATGCCACAACTCTGCTGACAAAGACAGCAAAGCAGCCATTTATAATAGTAAGAGAAGCATTCAATTTAATATCTGTGTTAGCTGGACATAGTTAGGCTTTTTGGACACAGTTGTTAGAGGATCCTGCTCTGCTAATACTTCAGGACTTTCCAGCATTTAGGCAAATTTGCATAGCATGTGTACTGGCATCCAGGTGCGATTTCTGTGCTTATGGCAAATGAAACTGAACTATACCCTAATATATATATAGTTGGCCTCCAACTGAACTCTAATCATAATCAGGCTTTATGGTGTGTGTTTGAGATAGTGCAGTTTATTAATTTGTCTACCTCTTCCCTTACTTCAGTTTTCAGGGGTATTCACACAGTGCAGATGAAATTCTGGTTCTGGATCAGAACTGATGAGCTTGAGTGAATTACTGTATTTAACTATTTCATTGTCAATAGAGTTAAGGGGTTGACTTGCAGCTTCCCTTCCATTTCAGAAAATATGGATTTAGGGAATTTCTGGTGCCAGCATGATACAAGAAACACAGTTTCTCTATTCTAGGGTGAGAAGAGTGGCAGTGAATTATTCACAGCAACTAGTGGAGTGCCCAGAGACTTGCCCTGTGATAACCAGTGATTTTGTGGAGAACAAAAATATGGTGTTGAATATTAAACAGAAAGGGGCAGGTGTTTTCTAATAAGCACCCTGCTAGATCCTGCCAAAGGGCCCCCATACAGACCTTAACAGCTGAATCTGGAATGTGCTTCATTTCATCACAGAACTGGCTATTGCCACAGCAACGACTCTTGACTAATAATCCAAAGAAACAAAACAGAGATGCAAGTCAAATCCAGAAATTAGAGTACTTAATCGTTCAGAATAAGGGGAGCTTTACCTAGCCTTTTCATTGAATGGAATCAGAGCAAAAATTCATCCAACATCTGCTAATGCCATACTTTAGTATTGCCTCTTCAATCAGAGTAAATTATATAGCTTAAGTGTTCATATCACCAATTAATCTCTTCTGAATCAGATCTGCATACTAGTTGCTTGAAATAGGCTTAATATAGCCATAATTGTTCAAAACATGAATACCATTTTTCATAATAATTAGCTAGTCACTTTGCCCTTTTTCTCAATTCGTCTAAATGTTCATATTTACATTAGAAGTTAGCAGTTAATTTTATCCATACAACCCTTCTCAATTACTCCATTGGTCTGTCAATAGAACCTTCAGCTTAAGGCAGCAAACCTGTGCAAAGTACCAGCATTCAACATTCACTGTATCAATTTCCTAAGAGGCCCATTTGAGATGATTGGAACTCTGCTCCAACAAGCACATGGCAAGGAAGCAAACAAGATATTTCCCACTTTGGAAAAGGCTCAGTGAGAGGAGCCAGGCACAGTGACCATCAGATCCTTTCCTACCAAGATGAGAGCAGGCTGTGAGCTTGCTGTGAGAGGACCACGGAGCCTTGCAGAGAAACTGCCTTGTGCCAAAACTACCCAAGCATTACAGTGCTCTTCCACAGCACAGTCTGAGTGCCTCGTTTGCTACAAAGACCCCAAAAGTGACTGGGAGATAATTACTTTGACCTCTGCTTGTTAAACGTTGATAGAGAGAGAGTTGATAGCAGCACCACGAGCTGTCCTCATGTTTCATTTCCTGATGTGCTGTAAACCTTTGACTTGCTGCCAAAATTTAAGGTTGCCTTATGAGATAATCCCAGCTAAGAAGTTCAGTTTCTAGGCATCTTCCTGCCCTTCTGCTGGAGACGGAGGCATGATGTAGTTAGCTAAGAAAAGAAACACAAAAGCTTAAGGGCTGTGAATAATGATCTTGAATAAGTTTTTGCATTTGCAAAACAGAGATAATACTATTTACCCTCATGCTAAATTTATAAAATACTTCTCTCCTGCTGGAGTCTCTAAATCCCTTGTTAGACCACCAATAATTCTCTTATACATTTCCTGCTGGTTTTAATCACCTACTCCCAATTTCAAGGATATTTTCCTAAAAAAAGAAACAAAACAAAACAAACAGAAATTGTGCATTTCAGAAACAAACACTTACAGTAGTACTCAGGAAGAGCATGAGACTTGGCTTGCACTAATAACTTAAAAGATACTATAAATGCTTTTTTAATCCACGCTGTTGACAACCGCCAAATTATCTGTGTTGCACTGAGCCATGACACTCTCCCATGAGGTACTAAAGTCCACCTTGAGACACCATTGAAGCCAAAGCTTTGATCCTCAAGGCTGACTTGAGTAAAGCATTACTTTTAAACTCTTTAATCCCTCATGCATCCATAGCACATAATTTTAGTAATGCATTTGACTTACAGTTCTTATTACGTCAGAATTCAGTCCAACTTCTCCTGCAAATAAAGTCAGAGCTCCCAGGGGCTCCAGAGAGAAGAATTACTCCTGCTCCACTGCAATTCTCCATTGAACTGATGAGACAACAAAAAACAGTGTTTCATCAGGAAACATAATTTCACATTCTTTCGGTACTTTTTTCTCTTTTACTGTATTTCAGTGCAGCATTTTCTGAAGAGAAGAAGCAAAAGAATTGGAAATCCAGAGGTCTTTAATTTCAGTTCTTGCTCCCACACAGGATCTTGAGACGACTGCACAAATATCACTCTTAGTAGCAGACAGCAGCTTACATCAGCTCAGATAACCGAGCTAAGGTCTGGGACCTTACCCACGCTGCTAAATAAAGTTCAAGCTGTGTGGCATCGCCTCATCACACTGCATAATGTTGGGCCAAGTGTTTCCCTTTGGTCCCCTGTGGTTGCCCCATAGCCTGATTGCATAAACACTATTTAATTGTGTATTATTCTCAGTTCAGAGCATTTTAAATAATGCTATGGCAGTGTCACAACTCATCAAAACAACATTTCATCAGTACAAATGCAGGCTACAGGTTGCATTATCTGTGGTTTAACAGAAGCCTTGAAGGTGCAAAACATCTTAGGATATCATTAGGGAGAGGGGACAACAAAACTGGTCCTGAAAACACAAAACAGTGCCAGACTGCAAAACAAGAATTAGAAGCCCCAAAGGTTCATTCCCTGTCCCTAGTCTCTCCTGCAGTAGAGACACAGCCATGGATCCCTACACAGTCCAGCTACCTGGTCCATACTGTAGGCTCTACCCTGTACAAGGCTGCCTCAGGCTGCTCCTCCCTGTAGGCATATATCTTGTGCAGCCAAATGCAAACTCAGTTTCTGCCTGTAATGCAATGATAATAACATTTATCCAATTACTCTCCATAAAGTCCACCTTATCAACGCCAATATACCGTTCATTGTATTGAAAAATATATCTTCTTTGTGAATACATATCTTCAATAAAGGGAGTAAAGACAGAGATGCTTTATATCACTGTGATTGCAAACTGTGATTTAGGCAGTCATTTGCCAAGTGCTGTAAAACACACCAACTTGTGAAACTGCCCTATCTATTAACTGTCAGTTCAAAATCAAAGGCCAAAACGAGCTCCTGCTGGAAAAAATAATTAGTGCCTAAATATTGCTGCAGCATTCTGCTCTCTCTGCAGTTCCTGGAAGGACAGGTTGCAGAGTGAGCATGGGGTGCTGAGCTGCAGGATAACCCCTCAAACACAAGCTGCCCACGGAAAGTATCACCAGCAAAGCTGAGGGGAGCTGTACGTGCATGATCTGAAATCCTGCACGCTCACTGCTCGGCTGATCTATGTGTCTGTTAATTTTCATGGTGGTGCTGTAACTCAGACATCATTCCAGTTGAAGGAAGCTTATTTTGCACGATACTCAGTGTCCTGAAATAAAGCCTGTCACTGCTGTCTCAAGCTTACATTGCTACCAGGAGTCAGCGAATCCCAGTGAACTTGACAATGTCTTTGGAAAACAAATTTCTTGCTTCTCAGAAAAACATCACGTGCTGAGTGTGAAAGGGATGGATAACACAATCCCTTGCTTTGCCTGCTCTGCTCTTTTTAACTCGCTAGGTCTTCAAAAATCTCCTTGCTGGAAAAAATGAGCAGAAATGTGGATGATCTGGTTCTGTTTACCAGAAGTACACATTGCACATATGTCTCAGTGAACCTGTTTTCTGGATAGCATTTTTTAAAATCCCAATCAGCTAAGTGTTTCAGAATTTTGCTTTTGCTTTCAGGGGACGAAAAAGACAGATTTAGGCAGGGAAAAGTGATTTTAAAACAGTAATATATAATAATATAAATAATTTTTAAAAGCTTTACTAGCTTAAAGCATCATTATTATTCAGTAAACACTGTTTTCATTTAGTACTGCACACATGGCAAGGGCAACAAATCCACTAAGACCAAGCAAGGAAAAGTATGTTTTTGAAAAAAAGATGAATGCTTGTCCTCCAGGTTATGTCCAGCAGACACCATCCCCTTAAAACAATCTTGTTTATATAAGCTGCAAAAATTTACAGTTCTTCTATCACCACCACTACACAGTGGTCAAAAAATGACCCTCAACAGAGGGAAATAGCAGATACCAACCATGTTCTAAGCTCTCAGTGAGCAGTTCAGTGTGCTTGCTTTTAGAGATGCTGTACACCTCCACATTTACTTGAGAAGGACCTCATTTCTACCATAAGAGACACTCCAGTATAATAAAATGCTTTGCATGGACTGCCTCTCAGTTGCTCCTTCTGTCCCTAACTTCTCCCACGGAAAATGCAGAAATCAGCGCTAACAAAAATTCTGACATTGTTTCAATACCTTGCAGACCTCCCTGCTTAGACATGTGTAGCTTAGCAGCACCTTTCAGTATAGCTTTGCAACAGCAGATTAAAAATATGACCTCTGAATCCCATTTGGCTGGCTAACAGACCGAGGGCTCAGATGGAGACAAAAATCAGAGCTCTCCAGAAGTCTGACATGCTGAATTTTCATACTGGTGGTATTGAAAAGATAGAAAAAGGAAGGTAAAGAAAAAGTAGTTAGACTGTCATTTCACAGCTAAAATGAGCCATAAAATAATTGCTAATGAAGAAATTCACTTCCTATGAATACAGAATTAGCAACTGTAATTCTTATGAAAGAATCAATTAGGATCAGCATAATGGTAGTAATATATAAGTTTATATGACAAAAAAATTATCTTCAACTGTTCATTAATATTAAAAAGTGTCGTTAATATTACTTTAGAGAACGTTCTTGACATGTTTGTAGGTATACATTTTATGTTTCCTGTGTAGTTATAAATCCTTAGCACTACAGAATTTGAGCACCTTACAACTTCCAAAGGAAGTCCATTGTTTTTTACTTACTTTTCTTCAAGGACGAGAGAGCATAAAGATCATGAAAAACAGTCAAAATGCTCTACATTTTGCCTATAGCTTTGCAGATTCACTGTAAACACAGTCCTAGTCTTCCTAGTGTAATAATGCCAATCAAAAGCTTTGTTATTTCACAAAAAGAAATCCACAACCAACAACTGTTGAAGCCAACCGAGAGAAATCAATGTGGCTCTAGATTCTATTTCCACCTATAAACTCTGCCACTAACACAGCAAGGAGCAAGCTGAGCATGACGCAGAAATGATCTTGCTATTTGTAGCAGGAGGTGCTTGCCAGTTAACACACAGCAGAAGCTTCATGCTCTGCATTCTATGCAGCAAGGGGATGCTGCAACCTGCCATTCAAAACAGTCCTTGGAACTGCAGGCAGCTGTGGGATTTGGGGGAAACAGTGAGGTTGTTTATTAGCAAAGGCAAAGAAAGAGTCTGTGCAATTATCATAACAGTCAGACAAACTACAGGTTCACAGCTATATGAGGCCCAATTGCAGCCACAAGCTGGATGGAGATAACTGAAGGCTGGTGAGACATTTCTTCTGCTGCTGGAAAAATGTCAATGACTATCCAAGAGGCCTGAAGCAACAGGACTGACTATCAACCAAAACAGGTAGATTCCATCTCAGGAAGACTAAGGTGGAAAGAAGTGGCAAAATTTCGTAATGAAAAGGTGTGAACATGAACAGCAGGGAAAGAGATCTTATAAAATTTCTCTTATTTTCTTTATCATCTCCATCATCCCTACTTCCCTTACAGTTTTGCTAATTTGAAATACCCTCTCCTTCCATGTCCTTCACCATTCTCTTAAAAAAGGCTTCAATCTTTTAAAGTCCACAGAATCCAACCTGAACTAAGGTATTAAACATATGCATCTTGAAGATGAAAGGATAGGTGAGAGGCCAGAGACAGAATAATTTAAATAATGGGGAAAATTCTGGCCATGAAATCAAAAGGTGAGTGAGCTTACCCCACTCCTAAGAATTCATGCACTTTCCCAACATGCTCTTTAATTCAGATTGCCTCTTATGTCTACTCTTTCCATATAAACTACAGGATCACTCGAAAAAAATGTCATCGCTCCCTTGAGCCCTCTTGAATTTAGAGTCACTTCTGCATTCTTTGTAGGACGCTGCTTAGAAAACAGAAGTGCTACATCATGTTACTTGAGAGATCTGAAAGATAGGGTGAATAGGGGCATTCTTCACATTAATACTTGGTCAGCTAAAGCTAAGAAAAGTACATGCAGAAATACTCAAAAAAATTTTTGAAACACTGACTTGTGAATTTTAAATCATTACAGGAAGGGATGTGGGACTGTAGATTTTCTCCACTGACTTGGATACATGGATACATAAATCACACTGCTCTTTCAGAACCACCCCATAAATAAAATCAGTCAGACTCACATGTGCATCAATATGCCTTATTCAGAGTCAATAAATTATTTAGTAATAGCACATTCCGAGGTGTGTGAACTCTACAATAGGCAATATACAGAAAAAGGGTAATATCCTTTTAAGCAGTCCATGAGCTCTTAAACAACCTCCCCTCTTGCTCAGTGCCCAAAAGGCTCATGAGAGCAGCTGCATACAAAAGGAACTAGCCTTCACCTGCTCTGTATGATTAATAAATGCATTTATTGGTTATTACTATAATTATCAATATAGGCTAAAAACGGTTCTGTTTGTGCAAGTCCTTATCAGGATTATATATAGAGAGAGAGTTATGCTAATATAGCAGAATATAGTTAGTATGATTATTAATACATGCTAAACTTATTCAGTTTAATTATAAAATTACATTATTTATAAAATTCTATGATAAGCATATACTATATTGAAAGTATGTATATAAATAGAATATCACCCAGTTCCAGACTTCAGTGTTTGCTTTGAGCCGCTCATGTTTGCTTGGAAAGGATGTTCCTGAGGCTGCTTTAAACTACAATCTCAAGTTTTTGCCTCTTGCCCTTTGGACTCCGCACAGACCCTTGAATCTCAAGCAGACCACCGGATTCCATAATCTGAGAAGATTTACCATTTATAGTTAAAAGGCACCTCAAGATAAACTGGACTTTTCTGCTTAATTATAGTGCAGTATGGAATAATTCTTCACAGCATACAAGTACAGATAAGTATAG